TGTAGAACTGCGTGACTTAAAGTAATGATACTGATTTTCAAGGGAAGCTCATAAACTGGCTCTGTAGGCAATTTTGAGAAACATATCTGAGTAATAGGATAAACATTTATACTTTAGAACTTGTTAGGCTTTTGGATTATAACAAGCCTTTTGTGTGCATGACTCATTCCTCCATTATTTCTTGATTATAAACTTGGTGGTGGGGAAGTGTACTAATTCTGTGATGGCCACCAGAGAATAATTTTTTTATATTACCTCCAGGGTACATGGAATAAGGTCAGCACTGTCTGTTTGAAGAAAGCGGTTTGAATGAAGGAGCTGCACGTTTAATGTTTTTTTTTTTTAAGTTTCTTATTTTCTGTACTTCGTCGTGTTGTTCACTAAACCAGAAGGGTACCTATCATTGTGACATACATTTCTGAGCTGGCTGACTATCTATGACTGAATGCAGATGTCGTAAATACAACACAGCCTACAAGAACTCTTTATCTAGTCAGCTGTATGTGAATTTCCCAGGTTCTGAGTCCGTATGATCTGTTGGGTTACGGGTCAAACCATATATCCTGATTAAGTCATAATGATGATTAGGAGTTGTGTTTTCAGCAAATACAGCTACCAGACTTTATCATTTATTAAGCATTTCATGGACAAAGTTGGAACATAAAATTTAAAATTTTCTCAGTTAAAAGTATAAAAATATTGGTCACTGATCATTTTGTTAATGTCCAGTAGAGTTCTAAAAGGCTACACATTTTCACAATTCTTAGTCTCTAGTTTAGATTAGCTTCTGAATGCCATGTTCTCCTAATGGAATGTTGTCTCCTCAATTTCCTCTGGAGTGTTTTTATATATCTTAACTGAACTGAAAAATATGCTAAGACCCAGATGTTTTATTTCTACAATTACAGAACTTATTTAGTGAGGATCAGTTACTGTATAAATTTATGAGATTACTTAAGATGTGATTAGTAAAATTTTATCTTCATTTTTGTTTCTGATATTTTAAATTAAATAAAATTGAAAATATTGGACTAGACTTACTCTCCTTATATATTCTCTTTAGTTCTTTGGATGGCATAGTTTAAATGAATGAACCAATAAATATCATACATGATTCTTACTAATAATACACAGATTGTCTGAAAAGTCTGGAAACATTGGGAAAATATTTTATTTATTATGCTTTTTCAGATGAATAATTAGCTTAAATTTAGAAATGTGTTACCTGCAAAAGAATAGGGGGATCAAAAGAAAATACATTTTGAAAATGTAACTAACATCTTGATTTTATTTTTATTTTACGTTTTGAAACTTGGATGTTCAGAACCAGATTAATTATAATTTTGATTCATGTCATTCTCTCATCATTTGTTCAGATATAGCTGCATTTATTTTGTTAATTGCTTAATTATTTATTTTTAATAATGGAATAGTTATCCACAAAGTCACTATCCAAAACAAAAGCTGAAACTCTAACAACAGCTCACATCAAATCCTGTTTCCCCAACCAGTCCATCACCCTCTTCTCTCCCACCCAAAATCTCATACTCATTGTTCCTTTTATCTCATTGTATTGTAACTATCTTTTTCCTAAAACATACACAAATATATATATTTAGTAGTTTTTTTTTTAATTTACAAAAAGAATGTCAGACTTTGTATAATCTTTTGGAAATTTTGTCATTTAGTATTGTATTGATAAGATTAATTCATATGGTTACTTGAAGCTATAGTTTATTCATTTCCATTACTATATATTCATTGAGTGCATGTGTCACGGTTTATTTATGTACCATCTGTTGCTGGACACTTGGATTCACTCTGTTTTTTGTTAATATGAACAGTGCTGCCATAAACATCCATTTACATACCTTCTCTTATACATGTGCAAGAGTTTCTGTTGAGAATATACCTGAGCACAGAAGTACTGGTGTATAGAAAATATAAGATTTTAAGAAAAAAATGTCAAGCTTTTCCAAAGTTGTTGCTCTCATCTATAGCATATAAAAGGACCTGTGGACCCACACTAGATATTATCAAAATTTTAAATATATTTGGAATTCAGTGGAGGTAGAATGGTATTCTATTATGACCTTAATAAACATTATTTTAAAATAAAAACATTAGGGGTGCCTGGGTGGCTCAGTTGGTTAAGTGTCTGCCATTGGCTCAGGTCATGATCCCAGGGTCCTGGGATGGAGCCCCTCACTGGGGTCCCTGCTCAGCAGAGAGCCTGCTTCTCCCTCTCCCTCGCTGCTCCCCCTGCTCGTGCTCTCTCTCTCTGTCAAATGAATAAATAAATAATCTAAAATAAAAAACATTCCTTCATTTCTAGTTTTTTTAAGAATATTATACATTTTTAAAATGTGGTATTGGTATACAGATCAATACAAAGTAATTAATTACAAAATAACCTATGCTTGCTTTGAGTTATTTACTTATTTTTTCGGGTAACTCTTCTCTCACATTACTGCAGTCGTGGCTGGGACTGTGATAGGCAGTTATTTCGGCCACCGTGTTCTCTTCTAGTATCCCACCTCCTGAATGGCAGAATGCCAGGGAGTGAGATCATGTATTTGCTATAAGCTCTCCAGTCATTCATTCTTTCTTACTCTAGAAGCTTCACCTCATCCCAGGTGATTTAAAAAGTATCTGAAAGATTTCCATTGCCTACTTAGGTTTATAAAAGGTTTTATTTTATTAAAATTTATAGTGCTACATGGACACATTTATGAACACATAGTCATTTGATTGCAAAGGTATATAGCGTTGGCCCACATGATTAAGTGTTTTTAAAATCCATTCAATTAGATTTCTAGATTTTCATGTTCCTTTCTCATAAGACACTTAGTTACTCAATTTAAATGCAAAGTCATGTTTTAGGTGACATGGCCATCTGAAATGAAGGACTAATTTGAATGTCTTTTAAATTGGAGAACAGCAAGGGTAGTAGAGAAATCCTGCTGCAGAACTCCGTAGTCAGCAAAAGCAAGGTGTGATGATGGTTCCTGAGTTTGCTATCATTTGTTAACATACATAGAATTTCCAAGAGGGAAAGAAGAATGAGAGTAGTGGTAAAAATGAGGTGGGGGCATAAAGATGTGATCCTGAGGCCTTCCTTCCAACCCCTTTTCACTCATCTGAACAGTCTAACCCAGCACAAGAAAGTGAGTTTAAAAGTGTGGTATGCATTAGTCATGGAATGGCAACTTTCATTCTGATTGTAGATATTTAAAAGCATCCTGCATGTTAAGTGGTCTTAGTTGAAACTGTTTGTACTTCTATTGCAATGTATTTGGTCACTGTGAGCCAAGATAGATAATGCATTTCCTAAAATGGTATAGAATTGCCTAAGTTGCTAACAAGAAAATCTTTCCATAGACAGTACAGTGTTTAAACTGGTCTTCCTTTACTCATCTTTAATTCCTCCCCATTTCCAATTGAGTTAATTGCTTATATTTTTAAGAAACTGGAACTCTGAAGAAATTGATTCACCCATCTTTTAAGTGACAGGGTATTTTTTTACAGTATATAATATGCATTATAATGTAATAAATAATTTAATTTAAGAATACTGAACTCTAGTGTTCCTTAAAGGGGACTTTTACAACTTACTGATACAAATATTGGCCCTCAGTAACAGGAGAAAATGATATTAAAATAGTTCAAAGATAAAGTTACACACAGGGTAGTTGTTCTCAAACATTAATAAGGCCATGATCTCATTTTTTTTAAAGATTTTATTTATTTATTTGACAGAGAGAGACAGCGAGAGAGGGCGAGAGAGGGAACACAAGCAGGGGGAGTGGGAGAGGGAGAAGCAGGCTTCCCGCGGAGCAGGGAGCCCGATGCAGGCTCGATCCCAGGACCCTGGGATCATGACCTGAGCCAAAGGCAGACGCTTAACGACTGAGCCACCCAGGCGCCCCCAATCTCATTTTTATATAACATATAAGCTTGAAGAAGTTGTGAACCAATATCGTAGTAAGGAAACCTAACTACACAACAGTTAAGATCTATGGCCATTATTTTTCATTTAGGCCTAGAAGTACATTTCCTTTCCTGAATGAACCGATATGCCATTTCAAGGAGAAACAAATGGCAGCAAAAAATAAACTTCAAGGCAAGCTGTGACTGAAGACGCAGGATGACCCATTTAAGACACCCCAAAGGGGGAAGGGCGTAGGGGGATGGGTTAGCCTGGTGATGGGTATTAAAGAGGGCACATTCTGCGTGGAGCACTGGGTGTTATGCACAAACAATGAATCATGGAACACTACATCAAAAACTAATGATGTCATGTATGGTGATTAACATAACAATAAAAAATTATTAAAAAAAAAAGACACCCCAAAGGAACTCTAAATTCTTCCACTAGCGATTAGCCCACAGGAATCTCCTTTTGCAGAACAGAGAAGCAGAACCCGGGAGACTGGCGCTTTAATCGTGCTGCTTCTGGTGATGAAGGGAGATGCTTACATTTCTCCCGAGGTTCTTTCTCCCGCCCCGGTCTCCGGCCCGATGAAGACTGGAGCGGTCTACACATTGTTGTGAAGCCAACTCGACTGCCCCGGGCGAAGCACAATGGGCGGGCGTGGGCTGTCAGTGAGCTCCTCGTTTCCAGTCCTTCCTATCAGTGTTCACCAAAGTGTTTTGGGATCTGAGCTCCTGAAACTTTCTAATGGGGGGGGGGGGGGAAATGATACGTTTCCTCCCAGTAGCGACTTTCTTTCTTTTTCTCCTGCTGTAAGCGGGGTGTTTGACCTGGTCGACTGTGTTCCCAGTGCCCTGGCGCCAGCTGTGTTCTTGACCCCAGAATAAATCAGGGCTGCACCGGGCCTGCCAGAGCTCCGGACACATTTCCTGTCGGGGCCTAAGGAAAGCTGTTTGCCGCCAGGACGGTGGTGGGGATTCTTGGCAGTTGAGGACTCTGGCGGGAGTGGGGCGGGGGAAGAGGGGGAGAGCCAGCTGTAGGGGGCGGTGACCGCGCTCTTGGGACAGCTCCGCGCCCTCGGGCGGGACAGATCCAAGTAGGGAACAGCTGTGGGAGCAGGGCCTCCAAGATGAGGCCGGCGCTCGCCCTGTGCCTCTTCTGGCAGGCTTTCTGGCCTCGGCCTGGCCGCGGCGAGCACCCCACCGCCGACCGCGCGGGCTGCTCGGCCTCTGGGGCCTGCTACAGCCTGCACCACGCTACCATCCAGAGGCTGGCGGCCGAGGAGGCCTGCAGTCTGCGCGGCGGGGCGCTCAGCACCGTGCGCGGGGGCGCCGAGCTCCGCGCGGTGCTTGCACTCCTGCGGGCAGGCCCGGGGCCCGGAGGGGGCTCCAAAGACCTTCTGTTCTGGGTGGCGCTGGAACGCGGGCGATCCCACTGCACCCTGGACAACGAGCCGTTGCGGGGTTTCTCCTGGCTGTCCCCCGACGTCAGCGGGTCCGAAAGCGACACGCTGCAATGGGTGGAGGAACCCCAACGCTCCTGCACCTCTCGGAGTTGCGCGGGACTCCAGGCCACCCGGGGGGTCGAGCCCGCAGGCTGGAAGGAGATGCGTTGCCACTCGCGCGCCAATGGCTACCTGTGCAAATACCAGTTTGACGGCTTGTGCCCGGCGCCGCGCCCCGGGGCCGCCTCTAACTTGAGCTACCGCGCGCCCTTCCAGCTGTACAGCGCGGCGTTGGACTTCAGTCCCGCAGGGACCAAGGTGAGTGCGCTTTGCCCCGGGCAGCTCTCCATCACAGCCACCTGCATCGCAGACGAGGTCAGTGCGCGCTGGGACGGGATACCCTCCGGGGCCGAGCTCTGTCCCTGTCCCGGGAGGTACCTCCGTGCTGGCAAATGCGCGGAGCTCCCTAACTGCCTAGACGACTCGGGAGGCTTTGCCTGCGAGTGCGCCTCGGGCTTCGTGCTGGGGAAAGACGGACGTTCTTGTGTAACCAGTGCGGAAGGACAGCCGGCCCCTGAGGGGACCAAGGTGCCCACCAGGCCGGCCACTGCTGCCAGCCCGGTCCCGAAGAGAACGTGGTCACCCACCGTACATGAGAAGCCAGGAGAGGTACCGCATGTCCCTGGACAAGGCAGTTCAGCAACATCTATTCCCGAGATTCCTCAGTGGGGAGCACAGAGCACGATGTCTACCCTTCAGACGTCCCCTCAAGCCAATTCGAAGGCTGCCATCACCTCTTCAGGAAGCGTGATTCCCAAGTTTAATTCCACGTCTTCCTCTGCCATTCCCCAACCTTTCGACTCCTCCTCCACCGTGGTCTTCATACTTGTGAGCATAGCGGTCGTAGTGTTGATTATCTTGACCATGACAGTGCTGGGGCTTTTCAAACTCTGCTTCCACAAAAGCCCTTCCTCCCAGCCAAGAAAGGGGCCCTTGGCCCAGCCGGCCATGGAGAGTGATGCTGAAGCCGCTGTTCTGCGTTCCAATTCTGTACATTGCACAGACAGTGGGGTGAAGGTGGGGGACTGTGGTCTGCGGGACAGAGCAGAGGGCGCCTCGCTGACAGGGTCCTCTCTTGGCTCTGGTGACACATAGGGAAACGGGACAATGGGCACTTCTGAGCAGAGTTTTTCACTTTCAATGAAAAGGGAAAAGAAGAGGAATTTATTTATGGGACCATTCTTTATAGAAAATCCCCTTCCCCCAAATTCCCTCTCCTTCACTGAGAAGCCAAATCTGAACTGGACGTGCATTGCCTGAAGGTGGAAGAGGTCGAAGTGCCTTATGGTGGTACCGAGGGCTGGGATCCTACTGGGGAGAGGTGTTTACTTGTGCTGATTCTGGGGGACTTGGAGAAGTGGTTGAACTTCTAAGATATTGCAAGCAAATAGAAAACAATACAATTTAAAAAGAATAAACCAACATGGAAAGGAAACTGTCTATATTGTTCAGGTTGGACATACATTGGTTTGAAATTCCCAGGCAAAAAATAAAGGATTGTTGATAACCCGCACTCAAATATCTTTGGTCTCCTGGAGGATTGATTATTTAGGAAAAACAGCTGAGGGGCATGCTGAGAAGAGCAACGAGAGTTGCTGCTCTTAGATTGAAGGGGAAATTTTCAAGTCCTTGTAATGAGTAGATCTTTAACAACTAGCAACTTTTTCCTTGGTTCTTTTATACTTTGCTTTCAAAGTCACTACTACTTATGTGCTCTGCTATAAATCCAAACTGTAGTGTTGCCAGCATAGCTGGCTCTGGAAGCAAATTATAGTTGACCACCAATTTAAGTGTTTACTGTGTGTCCTTGTTCAAGGAAACAAATGATTTGTGTTTTCCTTTTCCAGTGTTTGTGCTCTCCAGTGTAATGACCTTCCCAACCAAATAGCCCTCTCCTAAATATCAGAATGCTGATCCTCACTTCCAATTATGGTGATGTTAATTTCCAATTAAAACGTTAATGCTAAGTATTGATTTGAAATCTTCTGGGTGCACTAAAGCAAAAATGAGCTGGAATTCTTCCAAAGTTACTAGGTTTTTATGCACTATTTAATCCATTAAAAAACTTCAATTCCAAACCATTTCCTTACCTCCCTTAAAGAAAGTGTGTGCAGTGACCATACATGCCTATCTTGGAATGTTTATAATTTAACAACAGGCATGGTAACAGCTCTCCATAAGAATTAACAGCATAGGAAATAAGTGGTAAATATAAATATTTATCATCTTGTTATGACTTGGGGCATTAGAAAGTAGTCTAAATGAAGCATTCATCTAAAAAACAACTAAGATGTAATAATAATCACTATCTAGTAAGGTTGAGATCCCTAAAAAATTTCCCACTTCTATTAGTACGCTGAGACTTTAAAACTAAGTGTGTGGGGGTTGTTACATGAAGAGAGGAGAAACAAGCTTAGTAACCAGGAAGAATGAAAACAGGAAGTTTGCACTATATTTTCACAGGACCATTTTGATGTTCTTAAGTGTACAATATATAAAATACATATGGTATTGTAACATTAAAGGAATAAAGTAATAGGTAATTTTGCTTCATATACTAAATATATATAAAATAAAATCACAAATGAATTAGAATTAACATTTGAAGGAAATTTTAAACAATATCATTTCACAAGAAAACTAGAATCAGATAAGTAATGCCTTACTCAATGTCCCTAACTTGTCAGAGTGTGTCTCAGTTCACCTCAGTTGTGGTGTTTAATCCTTACTCTTTACTACATGACCTCTCTGTAAGACGGTAACTATTTGAATAGAATATATGATCCTTTCTTTTGTAACTTGAAAAATAGGCCCTTCTATAAATGAACTGTCAATTATCTATATCTATAATTATAAATACATCTAAAGTTATCTATATCTGTGTGTGGATGTATCTGTGTGTACACATGCTTTGTCTTAAAGTAGATGGCCTTTGTATCATTGTTATAATACAATGCAGTAGGTATCATTAATTTATTATGCAACATGACCCTGGTGGCATTACAAATCTTGGGATCCAAATGCTCTATGTGAAAAACAAATAGGTTTGAGCTCAACTGCTCACCTATTACCTGCCATTCTTTCTCCTTGTAAGTAAGTCAGGAAAGAATTAGAGAAAACGATCTGTTTTCATACTTGATTTCCTGACAGATAGCAATTGCGGACCAAGCTTCATACAACTGTCTTAAATTTCTGGCTATGAAGTCTTCCATATAATCTTGAATCCATGGCAGAATCAGGCCAGCCAAGCTTGATCTCTTGTGAGCTAAGGTTAGGGACTTTCCTACTTCTCTACTACCATTTTATTACTTCTCCAATCTCTTTGAAGTTCAATCCTTTCCTACTTAAAAATCCTCTGTCCCCATACTCATCTCATATAGCTACCTGTTTGGTCATCTCCTTCAAAGGAAGACTTGGTATTTAATTTACAGTCTTTCTCTTCAGCCTAAGTCCTGCCATTATTTTACACAATTTCAAAGCCCTCATGTATGACTCTTCCAATGCCTGTACATTTCAGTTCCTTGACTTCCTCACTTCCAATGACCTCCCCTTCATTTTAGTCATCCAATCCAGCAGCCACAACTTAGGCTTTCAGATGCTTCTGAAAGTGCTCTACATACAAAATCACAAATTCATACATCCATATCTTTGCACATGTGTTGAGACCTGTTCTTCAGTGAGTTTTACCACTGATTAAAAGTAAACCATTATTGTTTGACCAGTAGTCTCATAAAATTCTTTTTCATTTCCATAAGATTGGTAGTGATGTCTTCTCTTTGATTTCTAATTTTAGTAATTTGAGTATTTCCTCTTTGGGGATGGGATTAGTCTAACTAAAGGTCTGTCAATTTGGTTGATCTTTTCAAAGAACTAGCTTTTGGATTCATTGATTTTTCTCTGTTGTGTTTCTTTGTTTTTTAGAAAAGATTTTATTTATTTATTTGACTGAGAGAGACACAGCGAGAGAGGGAACACAAGCAGAGGGAGTGGGAGAGGGAGAAGCATGCTTCCTGTGGAGCAGGGAGCCCAATGCGGGGCTTGATCCCAGGACCCGGGATCAATGACCTGAGCTGAAGGCAGATGCTGAACAACTGAGCCACCCAGGCACCCCTCTCTATTGTGTTTCTATTCTCTATTTCATTTATTTCTCATTTAATCTTTATTATTTCCATCCCTATCCTTGTTTTGGGTCTAGTATGTTCTTATTTTTCTAATTTTTTAGGGTGCTAAGTAGACTATTGATTTGAGATCTTCCTTTTTTTAATATAGGCTTTTACAGCTATAAATTTCCCTTTAAGCACTGCTTTAGTGGTATCTGGTAAGCTTGGGCAAGTTTTGTTTTCTTTTTCATTCATCTCAAAGTATTTTCTAATTTCCCTTGTGATTTTTCTCTTCAATGCATTGATTATTTAGGAGGGTATTGCTGAATTTCTATGTATTTGCAAACTTCCTTAAATTCCTTCTGTTCTTAATTTTTAATTTGATTCCATTTTGGTTAGAATACATATTTTGTGTGGTTAGAAAGCATACTTTATGTGGTTAGAAAGCATACTTTGTATGGTTTCAACACTTTTAAATTTACTGAGTCTTGTTTATGGTCTGTCCCAGAGCCTAGCTTATGGCTTATCCTGGAAAATGTTCCACAGGTACTCGAGAAGATAGTGTATTCTGCTGCTTGGGTAATGTAGTATAGGAGTCTGTTGTAAAAAGCTTGCTTATACTGTCTTTCAAGTCCTTTATTTCAGTTTGATCTTTTTCTTTGTTGAGGGCTTCTGAAGTCTCTAACTTTTATTGTTTGATTATCTATTTCTAACTTCAGTTCTGCCAGTTATTTTTAAATGTATTTTGAGCTCTGTTATTAGGTGCTTATATGTTTATGGTAATATCTCCGGAAGTATGGGCTCTTTTTTCATAAAACGTCCCTCTTTATCTCTAATAACATTGTTTGTTTTAAAGTCTATTTTGCATATTAGTTGAAGAACTTCAGTTGTCTTATGGTTGCTTTTTGCTTGTTATATCTTTTTACATCTTTTAGCTTTAAACCATTTATGCCTTTGAATCTAAAGTGTCTTTTGTAGACTGTATATGTTAGGACTGTTTTCTTTAATCCATTCTCCAATCTCTGCCTTCTGGATGGATGTTAAATACATCTGTGATTAATGTCATTACTGATAAGGTAGGATTTACATCTGCTGTTTTCTGTTTGCTCTCTACATGTCTTATCGCTCTTTTGTTCCTGTACTCTATTACTGTTTGGTTTTTTCTTTTTCTTTTTTTTTTTTGGTATTGAATATTTTTTTGGAGTACCATTTTAATTCTCTTGCTGTTTTCTATACTTTCATAAAGATTTTTGCTAAGTGACTGGCATGGAGATTATAATTAACATCTTAATTTAAAGACTATACAATTAGGATTAATACCATCTAATTTCAATAGTATACAACAACTTTGCTCCAACATAGCTACATCCTTTTTTTAGGTCTGGGGTCAGTCTAACTAAAAGCCTGCTACCTCCCTCCTTCTTTGTGCTATTATTGCCAATCAAATTACATCTTTATACAATATAAGCCCATCATCACAGTTTTATAATTATTACTTTATTATGCAATTATCTTTTAAATCAGATAGAATAAAAAATTATAAGGAAAAATACATTTATACTGTCTTTTGTATTTACCTATGTTGATACTTTTACCAGGGCTCTTTATCTTCATGTGGTTTTGTTACTAGTTACAGTACAGTACAGTAACTGGCCTTTTATCATCATCCTGAAGGACTCTCGTTAGTATTTCTTATAGGGCATGTCTGCTGGTGACAAATTCTCTCAATTTTTGTTTGAATGTGCCTCAATTTCTTCTTCATTTATTGATGGATAGTTTTGCTGGATATAGAATTGGGGGTTGGTCATCTTTTCCTTATAACACTTTGCCTAAGTCATCCCACTGCCTTCTGGGCTTCATGATTTCTGATAAAAGCCACTCAGTTTTATTGAAGATTCTTTGTATATTTTGACTTGTTTTTCTCTTGCTACTTTTGAGCTTCTTTCCTGTGACTGATTTCTCATTTCTTTGTACAGCTCATGAATCTTTGTTGAAAACTGGTTGTCTTAGATAATATAATGTGGCAACTCTGTAAATCCACGCCCTGATAACCACACCACAGTTTGGCTGCTGCTATTTATTCGGTAACATTTCTTGACTGATTCTGAAAGGTCTGTATTTCCTGTGATGTGTAACCCCTGAATTAACTCTAACTCTGTTCAGTTAGCTTAGTGGTCAGCTAATGATTAAATAGAGATTTCTTTAAATTATTGAACCAATGAATCTGCCACCATTTGTAAAGGGGCTCTTGGGCAGGGGCAGGCCTTCAGTGCTCAGACAGTTTATAAATTTGCCTTAGGCTTCACTTCTTGCTCTCACAGGGCCTCAGCATCACCCAGAGTTGGAGAAATTAGGGCCTTTTCAGATCTTCCCTGGGCAAACACACAGCCTTACACATGCATCTGCCTTCCCAGATTCC